TGCTGAATTTACAGGATTGGCAATGTATTGCATTGGAGAGTAAGATCCAGTTGGCAGCAACCATTTTGCTGCGTGTCCCTCCCCACCTCTTCTTCTACCTTCTCCACCCACCCCCATCCTTTAAAGCAGTATGCTTACATCTTGAGGCAACTCCTAGGTCATGGTTTTACTCAAAAGGTGTGAGGTCTGCCAGAAGCAAGTGCCACCACTGAAATGTTTCTGTTGTCCACAGTTATCTCTAGCAATAAAAAAGGAGCTGTTGACATTTTGATTGCTTCAGAAAATACTATTCTGTGCTACAGCAATAACACAAGTAATGAAAGTTCAAGTGAAAATTCTTGCCATCACTGTAGGAGGATAAAAAAATCATGACAGCACATTATCCCATGGTCACTGATAAGATGAAGCGGTCCACCATGCTTTGCTCTCGCGCTTAGTGAGCTGTTCTACAACTAATACTCTGCTGCTTCACTACTCAGTCATTGTACCTCTTATGTTTCTTCGGTTATCAAAGAGAAATATCTGAATTCTTCACCCATATTTAACCAGAAGTCCTGGAATGAAATATTTACATGTGAATGATATTTTGTGTTCCTCCTTTAAGTATGGACTTTACTCAGCTGGAACTTTTAAAGAACAAGTGTCCTTAATTGCACTATTTTAAAGCAAAACACTCAGACTCTGTGTTTCTGATGGGTTGACCATGCTGATTATTCATTAAATAGTCCTGGGGTTGTTTTGAAACATCTACAAGATCACTCACTTCAGTAATTCATTAAGAGCAAGACAAATATTGGAAACGTCTTTTCAGTGACCTTTCAAAATGGCTAAGTGAGAAGTAGCTTGCATTTGTGATTCTACTGGATTAAAGATTGGCATGATTTTCTTTGTAAGTACCCCAGCAGCAACAAAATGCACTTTCGTCTCAGAATCTGCTGCTGTGGCCTCTGTGGTGTTGAGCAGAGAAGGTCATCTGTAAGCAGAGCTTTGAGGAAAACAATTTCAGATTTGATTGTTTGATTTTGGGCTGTTGTTTGTTCATACTTGTCTGCCATGTAAGAGGTGTTTTTGAGCTAGGTTAAGTGTTTGTGTATTTGTTTCTCTCTCCATAACTTCTTAGGCATATATAGGTGTAAACTTGTTGTCTTCTGTTTGGGACTGTTCTGATGTGGCATTTGCTATGTGTGGAGCCAGAGATGATGAACGAGGAATCAGTTTATCTTCTGTGTTAGTAAGATTCATTCTGTTTGTGGATCCGATACTGTACTTGGTTACATTAGTGTAATCCCAAAATACTACTCAGAATTGTTTTGAATTATTTGGAGATTCCGTAGTTCTCTAATTTTAGAGAGGACTTTAATTTACGGTAACATTTTTGCATGCTCCAAGGCTTTTCTTTTATTTTGGTAGTATAGAGAAAGTTTGAAAGAATTATCATCAATGTAAACCAAAAGCACCTCAGGCAACTAAATGCATGCCTTTCACTATTTTGTTATTCATTAACTACTCTGTTATTCCTCTCCCCTCCTCCCCACGAGCACCTCCCCCCACTCTCCACCAAAAAACACTAGGGAAATAAGCACACCACCATAAAAATGCTAATAAAGGGAATAATTCCCAATAGACCATAAAAGATAGCATTTATAACCCCGATAGAAATGCCAGTCAGCTTTTTTTTGATGTAAAGCATCTGTCTGCAAAAGGAAATGAAGGCAGGCCTGTTTCTCCTTTCAAGTCTCTGAAGTAGTAGGTGGTGTCATTTGTTATACAGTGCTACAAGTCCCATGTTATTGCACTGGTAGCTGCCGACTGCCTTTGTTAACGTACTGAAAAGTTTTATCAGCTGTCTTTAATAACAGATAATATATGGTGAAGAAAAACTGTAGCAAATGTCTCTTGCTCTCTTGTCCTCAGACCATCATTTATAGCTGTCAGAGAGCAATGACACTGATATATAATCTTGCACTCACCCAAAATTCTTGCAACTGTTACAATAAACCATGGCTGATACCCTATGAAGTTAGGGAGCAGTCTTTCTGAAATCCTGTGCACTTCCTCGTCTGAAACATGAAGGAGATGGAATGAACTTCAAGCACTACCTGAAACGAGTTACCAGTTCATACTTGCTATAGATACATTTGTTTAGAGCATTAATGGCCTAAAATTTATTGGGTCTCCATGCAGTCAGGAATGGTGTGTAGAAGTCGGAAACTTTCAAGTTCAGTTAAAAGGCATGCAGTTTGTTCTTTTTCTAGATGTTTTTGTTGCTTGCTCTAGTGAAACAGTATACCGAATTAAAGACATGATGGAAGAGTTTTCTTAGCTAGGCAGACCCCGCCTGGAGTACTGCGTCCAACTCTGGAGCCCTCAATACAGGAAGGGCATGGACCTGTTGGAGCAGGTCCAGAGGAGGGCCACAAAAATGATCAGGGGGCTGGAGCACCTCCCCTACAAGGACAGACTGAGAGAGTTGGGGCTGTTCAGCCTGGAAAAGAAAAGGCTCCAGGGAGACCTTATAGCGGCCTTCCAGTGCCTGAGGGGGACTACAGGAAAGCTGGAGAGGGACTTTTTACAAGGGCACATAGTGATAGGATGAGGGGCAATGGTTTTAAACTAGAAATAGGTAGATTTAGATTGGATATTAGGAAGAAGTTCTTTACCGTAAGGGTGGTAAAGCACTGGAACAGTTTGCCCAGAGAGGTGGTGGAGGCCCTATCCCTGGAGACATTAAAGATCAGGCTTGACGGGGCTCTGGGCAACCTGATCTAGCTAAAGATGTCCCTGCTCACTGCAGGGGGGTTGGACTAGATGACCTTTGGGGGACCCTTCCAGCCCAATGCATTCTATGATTCTATGATATCTATGATGTTCTTTAGAGTACTTGATTAGTGCCATACGCATACCATATTTTCAGGGCCATGTGAAGGAAATGGAGAGGAATTCTGGAAGCCACATGAGACAACTGTATACTTGCCACACAGTAAGTTTGTGGACGCTGTAGAATTAGCCCTGAGCACATTTTAACATGTGTCTTACTTAATATGAGTTTTTCTAGATTTAAGATTTTTATTCTTTGTGAGCTTTGCCTAGATGCAAACATATGCACATAGTTATATTTCAAGTGAGAAGACAGTTCTGTGTCAATAACTGTGCTCTTGAAAAAAGCTGTTTGATTCATAAACTCTCATTAGACAAATAAGGAGCACAATTAGTGGGAACTGACCATCCTACTCATGATTTGAGAAAATTCTCTCAATCAGTCTTGTCTAAAAATAGATGAATAAATAAGGCATGTGGCTATTTAGACAGCCATCCATATACAGTGGAGCTGTTTTTCAATAATTCTTCACTTACATCACTTCAGTTAGCACCCAGAACATCTGTAATTAAGGAGTGTATTATTCCATCATAAAATAGTATGCAAGACTGACACTGGAAAGGTGGAGCTCTGATAACGTGGCTGCCAATATGGGTTGTCCATAGCAAAGATTACATTTCAGGGACTTAGTTTTCCTTCTCTGTACAGCATATGACTGAAGAGGAAATTTTGGATTTAACTGGGAAAACTTTATAAAATCCATCTGGGGTTTTTTGTTTGTTTGTTTTGATTTTTAGTAGAAGAAAGTAACTGACTTAGGGGTGGTGGAAATAATCTGTCAGTGTAAAACAAGAAAAATTGAATCTAAAAATAACATCTTCAGATTCCAGTGCATTAGCATTATGGTGTTTACAATAGCGAGGACTGAACTCATTTTGTTTTGCTTAATTTTGAAACTCTGGAAGCCAGTTGTTCTGAAAATATGATGTGTTGCAGTTCATTATGAATTTTTGTGATGCGTGTGCATATTTTATTGGCCTTCTACCTACCATATTTTCCTGAAGTTACACCCCCATAGAGCAGTCTGAAGCTGGGTTTCCATGTGGCTGCACATTTTGAGTATTGCATTTTGATCAGATCATTGGTGAGTGGTGTCATGAAACATTTATCCTCTGAGGCAAAACTATGTGACTTCAAAAGTGAGTGTTCATGAAGCTCATTTAAAATGGTAGTGACCTGAGGGGGAGAGCCATAGTGAACTTTGCGTAGTATTTTTTCCCCTTTTTCTTTGAAATGCAAGGTACTGGTTTGACAAATGCAAAGTTTACTGTGCTCTCAGTAGCATGATGATAACTTAGGTGCTTGCAAATAAGGTGGGTTAGAATGTTCTCTTCAGATTCATAAATCTGCTTTTCTGCCCTTGTAATGTTTGTTAACTCAGTGACCAGGCGTGTTTAATTATCATGAACAACCTATTATTTCATAATGGAATGTTCTAAAGATGAAAAAATAAAAAAAAAAAGAAACATTTTGTCTTAGCTAAAGATGGAAAAATTTTAGTAACATAAGATTTTTAATGGATTTGTTATGAAATTTTCACATCTTTGTTATTAAAATAGCATGTGTTTCCACCGTTGTTAATTTTATTCAATCGTTCCTTAAGAAATAATTGCCACAGCCTGAATCTAAATGGATATCCTAGGACCCCTGAACATCCTTAGAATCTGAGAACAGTTTGTATTTTCTACTAGTTGTAATTAAGACAAAGAGAAAAAAGGGATGCGTTCCAGTGTGTTAACTATTCCCGATGATTATAAACTCTTTATTGGCAATGGGTTGTATTAAAATTAAATTCCTGTCTTTAATCCACTCTTGGATTACTTTAATTTTCTCTTGGAAACTGTGCTATGCCGATGTTACCACATGTAAAGCTTTATGAGTTCTGTGTTTTCTCATTAAGAGAAAAGTCTATGTCTGTAGACACCAGAGCTTGCCCTGTTTAAAGCACAAAGTATACAGCAGCTGTTCAGAAACTTTGTCTTGTTATCTCTATTTGCTTAAATTGCTTCCATGAAAAGTCTGTAAACATAAGGGAATAATTTGTTTAAGTGGAAGAAGATTGTCTGAACAGAAACACTGAAACTATTGCTAATATTTCTCCTTCCCTTATTTTTTGTACCAGTATCCAGCTGCCCTAATGAATCTTGGAGCCATTCTCCATCTGAATGGTAAACTGAAAGAGGCTGAAGAAAACTACCTCCTTGCTCTTCAACTTAAACCTGATGATGTCATCACTCAGTCCAATCTTCGCAAATTGTGGAATATCATGGAGAAACAAGGTTTGAAGACATCCAAAACATGATGATGAAAACTCTGAACTTTTTTTCTTGAATTGATTAAAACCACAAACTAGAACTTCCACACAGTTGTCTGATCAGAGAACTCATTGGACTTGACTGCAAGGATCAGAGGTCTTAATTGCTGCTAGGAGAAGCTATTCTGCTTTTTTGACATAAGTTTTTTTGCTAGATAAATAGAAAAAGGGAGACTTTGAGATATTCATGAAGGACTTGTTGGCCCACAAAAACAATTAGAACTGTAGCACTTGAGAGAAGGTATTTTGGCATATTTGATAAATTATTGCGAATCCCATATTGCTTACTTTTGCGTGGGTACTTGAAATGTATACTGTCATAGAAATAGTAAGGGAAAATTGTACAGTATACACTAAGCCATATGGGAGTAAAAGTGGTAATAGTAGGTTAAAGTGTTTTGCTGATACTGTAACTCATTAAAATGTATACTAAATCCAGTGTGTTTGCAGTTTGTCTTAATGCTGCTGTATCTCACTTTAGGACCACTTACTTACCAATTTCACAGCTCATATGGCAAATTTTTTTCAGACCTGTCACTTGTGATTAGATGACAGCATTCAAAATTTTTTGCTGAGAATATGCATATTGTTTCAGCTTGTTAAGTTTTAATGCAGTTTTCTTGAGATACACAGTTAAATGGCTGTGGGCTAGACATAATGAGCAAGGAACTGCCCATATTCTACGTCAGATGTGTTTTGGAGAGGTAAAAAAAAAAAAGGTCCAGAGGTGTAGTTTAGCAAGATTGATGTTTGCCCTGGTACCAAATGAGTGTGGTCAGACTGTAATCTTAAGAAAAAAAAATAGTGTAGTATTATAGAACAATGTGTTTGATTGCTGTCGAATAAGACCAACTTTAAACTGGACTCTGCATTCAGTATTTTTGCAATAACTCGGCCAAGTGAGATTTGAAAATATTAGTGCTTGGATATGCTACAAATGAGACTTCATGAGCAACTTGGAGAAGAGAGAATGTTATATATTGATGAGGCTAGCAAATAACTGAAGGGACTGGATTAGATCATGCTTACAACAGTGCAGATCAAGAGAAATCTGTAAAGGTTGTTACCAGTTATTTTCACAGTGGTGGTGTTTTAAAAAATATTACCTATTCAGATTCTAACCAAATACTAGTATTTTGTTTGTATTCTGACATGTGTGCTAGCAGCAGTGCTGTCAAATATCTAAATATGCTTTTGATGAGGTTCAATTTATTTCTGTTTCAGAATTATTTGGCCTAGTTACTGTTTTAGTCTTCAGTTTTTAAATGTAAAAATAATTTATTTTAAATTGCAGTGTATTGAAGCTTTAGTCAGTTTTTTCCAGGCCATTTGTTAACTGCTTTCTTTCTTTGAAATAAGTATTATTACTTGTAAGAAAATTTACTCTTTCATTTAATGACCTGTTGGTATCTGCTTCAGTGTTCTTTTCATAATGGTAGATATGTTAAAGTGGTAGAGCACCTTGAACTGAAGCTTCTTCAGGATTTTCTGTTAAAAACTCTTTATTACGGAGAAAGGGTTTGGGTTGGGTTTTTTTGCTTTTTAACTGTTGAGCACCATTCCAACAAACCTGTAGAGAAGAATACTTTGCTGTATTTATTTATTTATTATTTGACTGCAGCAACGTTACCTGCCATTAACACAACAGTCTGTAAGTGTTGCTATTTCTTTTGTTGGTTTTCCTTGCATTTTTTGTGGTTAGTGTGTGGACCTACCGGGAAAAGGGACACTTGAGTTATACTCTACCTTCTTGGTCATTGTCCCCTTACACTTGCATTTTAAATCTGTATTGAAATAGATTGGGGAGTAGCTGTTTCAAAGTCAGTATGGTAAAAAATTGTAGTGGTGTGTGTTTCCTTCTCTTTCGTCTTGCTCACTAAAATACCCTAAGTTACTAAGTTTACAACTGGCCTGCCAGAAGGGCCAGAGGGGCAAGATTCTTGGGTTTTGTGGAGTGCATCATGTTTTTCTGAAATAACGTTATGGCTGGAAAAGAAAAATTGAAGGGTCAAAAGTTGAATTTATTCTTTGTCATTGAAACCAGTGTTAGAATGCAATGGTAGCTTGAACTTATTCTCTTGCTTTACTGACTTTCTGGAAAAAGTATAGAAATAAATTAGATAGTAACTATAACTGAACTCAGTATAAAACTGTGGTATCCTGCAGCTTTATTTGCTCAACAGCCATCAAACTTTGATGGCTTCTTGGTCTTAACCATTCACTATGTTATTTGTCTCCTTCAACTTGTACTCATTCTTGTTTAGTAATTTTTATTCATTGCACAAACAGGGGAAAGGGGGAGCACTCCTGTGATATGCTTGCATTGGTAACTGGTTTTGTTGTTTCTTTAAAAAAAAAAAAAAGAAAAGAAAGAAAAAAGGACTAGCATAAATTTAACAAGAATGTCCCTGAATACATTTTTTTTAATATAGCTCTGGGCTTGATAACTTTCTTCTTTTGGGATAAATTTAAACATGTTTAAAATATGTCTCTCTGCTCAGGGATTTATGGTGGATTATTGCAGACAGTGCTAAAAAAATAAAAGAGCACAAGACAAGTTTACTAAATTAAAATTTTATTTTTTGAAAAACTGTTATTTGTATAAATTATCAGATTTGTAGGCTTTCCTTTTTGTAGAAATAATTGTTTATGTGCCAGATAAGAGAATTTCAATTTTGTTTTCAATAATAAAGCATTGATAACTAATACACTGTGCATTTCTTTATCTGTTACTGTAACAACACTTTTTTAAAAAATTATTCTAATTTAATGAGTTATATTGGCTGTTTTACATGTAGGAGGACTATGTAGCATAAGTAGAGTACAACCTGTCACAGCTGGATTTCTTCTATACTCTATTGCAATTATACTTCAGCTGATATTTTCAAAAAGGTTCTCTGGAAGAATTTTTTAATATTTCTACTCACTAAATCTAGCCAAAGGGGTATGGGAACTTATATATTTGTTTGTTGTTTCTAAACTCAATCGGAAAAAAAAGCTGGTGAATATTTATAGACTATTTTTATATTGACATACAAATATGATGTCAGTAAAAATGTTTCTGAAATGTATAGTTGGCTACAAAAGCTGGAAAGAAGACTTTGCTCACATGCACGGTCTTTTTAGCATCTGAGATCACCTTTCTCACGTGCTGCAGTGTCACATGATCAGTTCCAAGTCTGCTGCCTTCCTGTGCAGGAGATGTTATGAAGTGACATGGTTCTTTGATCTTTTGGGTTTCTCTTAATCTTCTACGGCCGGAGCCTTCTTAGCTCAGTGGAACTAACACTAATATTCTCATACCTTCCTAGTTCTGTTGCCTTGAGGTCCTATGCATTGATTTGCTTTCCAGTTGAAACATGTTGATAGGCATGAGCAGAGCACTAGAGAGGCTTTAGGTCCCTGACTTCCAAATTCAACTGTCATGCCTTATTTTTATCAAAGATCCCGTGGTCATTCCTTGCCTAAGTAGGTTTTGATGAAATGGCAGATGATGAATCTGGAGTATGCAAAGAATAATCTGATCTGTGTCACTCCTTTCTCCTGGAAATAGAGTCTAAACATGTCCTGAACTCTGGCTCTGGCATCTTATCCCTAAAACCTTCTCTGTGAGATCCTGTTCTGTCTGCCTTGTGTTGTGCTTTCGATGTTTCTGTTCTTCCAGCCATCACACTTTTTTGGGCAGCAGTTACCCGATACATCTCCATTTCTGATGGAGGCACATGGCAGCTCTGTGGTGGCTTTTTAGTCCTGCTGTCTTATACAGCCCATCTGAACTTGCTGTCTGTAGCTGGCACAGGTGGCTGTATTACTTCTGGGATTTGACCTACTATAAAGGTGAGGCACTAAATTATTCTGTGTAAATATACCAGCTCATTTGAATCTGGCCTGGGGCCTCTGTTGTAGACATTCCATAGCAGCTTTGCCTGGCAGGGATGGATGCAGGTAGCGGGAGAGAGACTTTGCCTCCAGTCCAAGTGTGAGAACAGTCACAGAATTACTATGTTTATTTTGCTGCATGCCTAAGGGTTGCAAAGGAGAGATTTTAGTGAGAGAATCTGGAGATTTAGAAATAAATTGTGGGAAATGTAAACAGAATCCCATATAGCCACTTACCTTTTTGAAACTTCTATTTCTGGGCCTTTGAAATAAAGTAGAGACCCCACTCAGATGTTACATACACTTCTCGGTGGGACTAACCCTACAGTCTGAAAAGTCCCTGCTTTGCTTCACATAAATATTGAACGTTTATTCTGTTTGAGATTCAGCAGTGCGACACTGGAAGAATGTGTTTAGAGGAATAGAATACATCCAATGTTATGCAAGGGGTGAGGAGGGAGGTGTCAGGAGATGCAGACATTTTTGTGGAAATGAGTAAGAATTTTAGAGGGACGCTGTTCCAACATCAAAGAAGGAACTCCAAGATCAAGTTATGCTAGCATCAACTGTAGGAAAGCGTATGTGCCAGTAAATTCAAAGAAACAAACAAACCCCAAAGCAATACAGACCTGAAAAAAGTTCCAAGTTCTTTTGGTATAGTAATGAATCAAAACCAAACATTACCAACCAGAAATGCTGACCTCAGAAAATGATATATTAGAGTTCAGAACATAACAATATATTCCCCATGAAAGACTAATGCATGCCTCAAGTTATGCCACTTGATTAGAAAACCTTTATGGTTGCATTTGTGTTCAAATTTCAAATTGATGTTTCTCCCTTCCCCATATAGCCTTTATTTTATCATATTTACCCTGTCGTTGTGCACTGGCTCTTTGGTGGTGCCACAGTTCCAGCCACACAGCTTTGAATGTTACATGTGAGGAAGCATTTCAGAAGGGCAGAAACATCAGAGTGGACCTTCTAGAAAGGCGTAAAAATGAATCGTGCATGCTTGCTGTATACTCATTTATTTTGAGCATAATTTCAGTGACAAAGCGTAATTACGTTTACTTACTGAAATTATTGATCTTACAGGTATTTCTGTG